AAAATGCTGCCCTCGGCCTGCGGCCTCGGGCAGCATTTTCAAGACCTCGGTCACAGTTTTTCCCTATACGGACCTCCCAGCCGGCCAATAACATATATGCATTGTGCAGATAATTTGGCCTATGCACTAATCGAAATAGAGATATCAACATTTGTTAGCTTGGGTGCGAAGAGGGAAACGTTTCTAAGACGTTCAAAGGTAGAATCCTACAGTGAAGTGTCTCAGCCCTTTTGTCGCTCACTGATGATTTTAGTAATTTTAGGCACAATAATTCCCTCCTTGGAATTGATGTGGAAAGTCTTCAAACTCAACTGTAATCTCTTGAAGACGAGTTCAGAACGGTAACCCTACCTTTTTAAAGAAAAACTCGAAAAACATTCACTGCCCTCACCTGGAAACCTAGTAATAAGCAGACATACCATGGCGGGTTCTCATCGATGAGGTAAGACATGCCAAATGGTCTTGTCTTCTTCTGGGGTCGAGGTTGAGCATCAGGCTCAACACCCTTCAGCTAAGGAAAAAGAATTTAAGTGCTTAGGAGAAGGAGGTTTTGTTGAAATTTGGTGGTTTGATGGTTTACAATGCTTTATTTAAACGGTACGGGACATTGGCTCTCAAGGCAATCAACCGGGGCTTTTTTAATGACTTCCCTGTCTCCTCTCACTTCTTTCACACCTTATGTCATCAACTTGTTAGTCTCATGACATCCTCTGTCTCAATAGAGTGAAAGGAAGAAAATAAGAACGATACCTTTCCCGTAATGTGCAGCAATAGTTCCTGGAACGGGGTAAATAGCAGATCAAAGACTGCCGGTTATTCATGGAACGGAAGTTTTAAATTCGCTGAGTAATGCAGATGCTGACTCGTAAACAGACAGCGTTTTGAATCCTATGTGTCATGGGTATGTTATAGACGAGTTAAAACTTGTCAAAAACCAGTATTTTGAATTTATTTGTCCCTGGTTGTGAGCGGTGGCTTATCGGGCGGTTGCAAGCAGGTTCCCTCTCGTCTCTCACCATCAGAAAGAGAAGGGAATCTCTGTCTCGCTGAGTAAGAGTAGATTAACTTGAAGACAAATATAATGACTATACCTTAGGGCATACAGCGTGGGACGAGATTTTTTCGGATTCTAATTTTTGCGATTTTTGTGGTGTTTTCCACGATCCGCAAAAAAAAAAGTACCCGCAAAAATTTTCTCTGTAAAAATTTACTCCACTGGCGAAATTGTACATACAAGCATCACATGTACAATCTTGTTGATGCCATTTATTTAAAACGTTTAAATTCAAAGCGTCTCTCTCGTTCAGAAATAAAACGGTGGAATTTCCCGTGGTCAAGAGATTATGATACACTACAGGTGTAGCTACTAAAAAGCTTACAGAAGAGGATCTTCTTAAGGGAACTATTAGCCACCCCAGTGCGAGATGTAATTGTGATAGATTACACTTATTGCCATGTTTTACACCTTGACCTGTTGGCTTTGTCGTTTGCCTTATAACGTAATCAATGAAAATGTGGTAATTTAAATTAAACGGGACTTTCTGAAAATCGCAAAAAAGTACATCCAGCAAGATAACCAGCCTTTCGAAAAATTAGGTCTCGCAAAGTACAAAAAATCGCCGATTCGCAAAATTAAACAAAAATTTCTTGCCCCAGGATACTCTACTCATAAGGGCACAGAGAAGATTAACGTGAAGGGGAATTAACTTAAGACCTGATTAATGAAATGGCAAATCAAGTGTTATGTCCTATTCACGAGCTCGTCACAGGGCAGATTGATGAGACAGCGCGTCAGCCGTTACTGTTTGAGGCGTTAAGTTTGCCTACTGTCTACCGATCTTTACCGGCTTTACCGGCTTTCCCGGCATTTTCGGCTCTATTTTGTTTACCGGCTTTTTCGCACGTGAAATTGCAGGTAGAGCACTGCACCGTTCTCGCAAAGGTCACGGGTTCGAATTCCGCTCAAACTGTAATTTCCCTCAGGCCTTATTTTCGCAACTACCTAACTTCAATCAGCTCGCGTGTCTTTGAACCTCTATTCCGTAGCTCAAATACTGTTTCACAAATTTACTTGATAGAATGTCCTTCTATTTAACAACTCCCTTGTCATTACCCAAGCTAAAGGTTAGCATGTGATGGACACAATGTAACGTCTTCAGTATACATGTTGTGAATTCCTGAGCTGCACTAAGCTTGTCAAGTGATATAGTCGTGAAACTGGTAGCAAACGTCACGAGGCTAGTTTTGTGCAAGATAATTAAGGCGTATAGTTAAACAGACTCTTAAAAATCAGCCCGCTACTGCCTTCACACGCGAGAGGAACCTCATAGAATTGAACTGTCTGTGAAGCTGATTGAGGAATTTTGCATCAATGGTTTCAATGTTATCAAAAACGCAATTAACGAGTCATCGAGTCATCAGCTGATTAGTCTGACTGCTTTGAGGTCACTGATCATTGATTACTGAATCAATGTAATCTCGTGACTTCCCAAACCATACTGAATCGAATAGAAAAATAGAAACAACTTGCATAAGATACATGTCACAAAGCAAGCGTTATTGTTATCGTCCATTTGCTCCTTAATTTTGCCGTCCCTCAAATCGATATGATGTTTTTGTTTAAAAACGAACAATGCAATGTTTTGTTTTCCTCATGGATAGTCTGTATGAAAAAGAAAAAAATAGCTTTCGGAGGTTATCTACGGTTTCTGTGGCATGAAACGGCAAGGAGTGTTGCTACGTCCCTTAGATAGGATGCTAGCCCGTCTCAGGTTACTCCCCTGCATTCTGTCAGGCAACCTTAAAAGAACGGCCTATCCACTTGTACTACTGGATAGAAACAGGAACCGAGAGAGTATAGTGTCTTGCCCACGAGAATCTCGCCACGATCGATTCCAGACTGCTCGATCCGGGCGAAGTCCAGCGCACTACCCATTACGCCACAGGTGTCTTGAGACATAACAATGTTTTGTTCGGCTCCTCGTTTTGGGTTGGCCTATACACATCATAAGGAATCAGGGACGATAGACCAAATAATTTTTGGTGGACGATTAATCATTGATCATCGGCAACGATCAATGACTTAACTGTTGATTACTTATTGATGTCATTTAGCATTAATTCAGGTTAAAAGTGGCTTGATTGTTTTGACCTACAGCTGATTTTTATATGACAAGGGAATTTCTGATTGCAGTGTCACAGTTCCACACAAGGACTCAGTCGTTTTTTGATTCCTTTTTATATAATACCCGTGTGTCGCGGCGTATATAAAATCAGAGTCGTGTAATTTACCTCAATCTCTTGTCGTGCCATTGGCCCCTTTCACGTTAACAACAAATCCTCTTCGCAATCTAGTGAGAAACACTCAATTATATTTCTTGTGAGGTTGTACAGCATCGGTTTTAATCGACTTGCTAAGAGTTATGGACTGAATTCTTGACTAGACTCTGGACTGGACTCTGGACGTTGGAATGGACTCTACAGCCTCGTTTCCAGAGTCTCCCCTGG